TGCTGGGGTTTACTGGGTGGGTGTCATCTCCTCCTTTCTTCAGGCTTCATCCTCTTCATCCTGCTGAATCCTGCTCCTGCTCCATCTCCACGGCTGTTGCCTGTTAATGCTCTCATCCCTGGAGTCCTGGCAAAGCTGGGAAAAGTTTTTTAAGCACATCACCTCCTGCCTGCCCCTCATCCTTGCTGAATCTCCCACTGCCAGTCTCCCTGCACATTTTCCTGCAGGAAAGACACTAATGGATATATAAATAAAGCAACCTGTGTATTCTTTTCCCTGCTCAGAGCTTGGATAACCTGTGGTTGACCCCTCCTAGTCCTCCCTAAACCACAAGCCCAGTATGTGCTGCCGCTGCTGCTCTGGCATTTTTATGAATGGCCGTGAGCCCGGGGAAGAGACGTGAGCCTGGATTTGGAGCAGCTCCATCCCTTCCACCGCAGCGCTAATCTTGACAAACGATCAGCGTGTGCCTTCCAAAGCACAGATAAGGCTGGCTGGCCACTTCAAGCCGCTCTGCTTTCCCACGAAGAAAGGGATTTTGTTCTCAGCCCCCTTCCTCCAGAGCCTGGGCAAGCCCAGGTGCCCCCAGCCCGCAGTTTGGGGGACACACTCTGCAATGACAGCCCTGGGAATGCAGCCAGGGGCCAGCTCAGAACAAAGCCTTGGCAACCTCCAAACAGGGCAAATGTTGTGACCTTGCCTGGGTTTCTGATGCACCAGGGATGCCTCCTGCCTGCACACCTGCATCTCCTGCCTGTTGTGACCAATGGGAGAAGTGGTCCATGCCTGGCAAGGAGCAGGAAAGGATGTTCTGTACTGTCTTCCAGTCCTGTAGCTGAATCATGAGCATGGTGGACTTCCTTGAGCTCACTTGTAAGAGCTGGAGCACTTGCAGAACTCTCACTGTTCTGCTTGAGCTGGTACCCCACTGCACTGCTGTGGCATTTGGGACAGGCCTCCTGCCTGACAGTTTGGGCAACACAGTGCCCCCACCCCTCCCCAGGGCTGGGGAGGCAGTGTGGGATAGCTGTGGGAGCTTCCCAGGGACTGGGACATGGGAAAATGAGCCCTGAGTGGCTCCTGATGGATGTGCACCTGGGAAATCCAGGCTGTGCAGAAGGCTCCCTCTGTCACACAGACACAGACACGCTGCCAAGAGAAAAGGCCTCTGTGAGTGCCAATTCAAGGAATGCCTTTGATCCAGTGGGAATCACTAGGGAGAAACTCTGCCTCTAAATAGAGCTGCTCTCTTGCCTTGCCACTTTGGGAAATGAATTTGTACTTGGAAAAAACTCAGGCTGGGAGAGCTCTTGGGAAGCCATCCAATCCATTTCCCTACCCCAAATTGGTCCTGACAGGTTTTTTTTTTTATCTAACCTTTCCTTTAAAATCTCCAGATGGCTCAATACAGTCTCCTCCAGGGCTATATTATTTTTACTAGCAGATACTGTTTTATTATTAATATTCAACTGAAATTTCCCTTGCTGCAATCTGCTCCTATCCCATGGCAACAGAGAGAGCAACTGCCCTCTTATTGCCCCGCATGCTGGGGGGTTTTCCACCCTGGTACCTATTTAAAGCTCAGCATTAGGGTGGGCAAGGCTGGTCCTGGCCAAGATCAGGCTGAGCTGCAGAGTTCCTGGGCTGTGCTATCACTGTTGCTGTCTCTGTGGGTCTGGTGGTACAAGAGCACACACCCACCCCTGTGCAGGCTCCAAACCTCGTACCCAGATGGGAACGGGAGGTCAGGGGCTGCTGGCTTGTTGACCCATGAAGGGAGGCAATTACTCAGCTGATGAGGCCATGCAAGTGTTAATTAAAAAGCATGGGAAGCAGACCAGGTCAGTGTTTGGTGCCACCCGCTCGTGAAATTAGCCTCGTGGTGATTCCCCAGCCCTCCCCAGGGGCTGGAGCAGGGGAGCAGCTGCCCGTGGTGCCTCTGCTCTTGCTCTCATCTCTTCCGGCTCAGCTCCTGTTTCTGGGTGCCTCCTGTGTCCTGCATAATGCTCCTGCTGGATCCTTGGTAGGGGAAAACTTCTGCCTATTCATTTCTGGGCTGGCTTGGAGCAGGAGTGAGAGGTGTAACCAAAATAATCAGCTCGTGGCGGTCCAGGTGGAGAAGGAAGCTCCCTAGGCACATGGCCATTGTAGGATGTGCTCATATGGAATGACTGATGGACACAACCCTCCTGGTTAGGCACCCCTGTGGTAGGGATTTCCCTACCAGCATCCACATTTGAGCAGCAGCAGCAGCTCTGCTCTGACCCCCTTTACTCTCCAGGTGAAGCCAGGGGACAAAGCAGATCTTTCCTCTGGGAAGCACCGAGGGCTGGTGCTCCCTGACCAGAGAGCAGCTCTGCAGAGCCTTTTGGCAGCAGTTCAGTGTGGCAAAGCCCTTCCATTCTGCTGGAGAGCTCAGTGCTCAGCATGTGCTTCACAGCTCTGGGAGATGGGGCTTGGCATCTTCTCCATCAGCCCTGGGACGTGCCCATGTTGGGAGGATGCCCTGGGAGAAAGGAGTCTCCTGTTTCTTCTCCACATGAGACCTCTCCAAAGCCAGGCTGCCATGCCAGGCTCCTCATGGGCACCTTCCTGTGCCTGGCCAGGGCTTGCAGGGTGGTGGGGACTGGCAGAAGCACAGCTGAGCACCAGAGTTCAACCTGAGCTGCTCCCTGATAAGAGCAACTTCACAAATCCCAGTTTCCTGCTGCTCTGTGTCTCATGGCTGGATTAGCTCACAGCTAATAAGGCACATTAGGGTTTTCCCCATGATTTGGGGCACCCATAATGGCTCTTTCCTGTATGGATTCCTTGATGTCTTACAAAAGAGTTGGTGATGAATCCATTTCCTCAGCTGGGACCTGAGTTTGGCGTTCTTCTGTCTACTCAGATGTCTTTTTTCATAAACAATTAGACGATAGAACAAGAAAATGGGATTCAGTGTCTCTGAGGATCTGCCTCACTCTGAAATCTGGCAGAAAGGGACCTGGTGCTTCAAAGGTGGGTTTGGACAGACAGACAGACACACCCACCCCAGAGCAATGGCTCCCACCTCCCTCCCTCTCCCAGCCAAGCTGGTGAGAATGAACGAGCACTTTTAACTCGGGCCCATTGTACCCATTCAGCACAGCACAGGCTCCAGGGCTGGGGCCAAGGGCCCTTTCTGAAGCCGTGCAACACCAGATGTTTTTTTCCGGAGGCCTCAGACACACACGTGCAGCATGCTGTTATTAGAACTGGCTCACACTCCCTGCGCACAGGGAAAAAAAATTAAGGCCGTGCTCAACTTCGTTCTCCACTTTGGCATCCAGCATTAAACCAGGCAGGCTCGGTCAGCTTTTGTTTGTTTTTACAGAACTGCTTGTGGCCCGTCCCTCCTGCAGCATCCCAGCGGAGCAGAACAATTCAGTGCACCAGCTGGATGAGCATTGCTTCATGTGCTGCCAAATGTACCACCACAAACCACGCTGCAGCACCTCTGGGGTGCAGCCTGACAGGCCGTGGCAGCTCAGCAACACCCTGCAGCAGCTTGAACCAAGAGGATGCACTGCTTCAGCGCTCAGGCTTCCTCCTCTTGGTTTTCTGCCTGGTCTGTCCAGCTTGCCTCTCCCAGCTCGGCCTTCTGATGGATTTTTCTTCTCCTGATAATGTTTCCGTACTCACCTCAGACCGAGCCAAAGACTCATTTTAACTGACAAAGGCTGTTTGTCTCAGTATCTTATCATCTCTGTCTCAGCCCGAGCCTTGATGCCTCCTTCCCCCAGCAGCAGGTTTCACTCCTTCGTTTGGAATTTCACACAGCCACCTTTTCTTAGCCACCTCCTGTTTTCCTCCAAGAGTTTTGGAGAAGCACGACACACCTTGTCATGGTGCTTTCCTGGCTTCTGCCAGCCAATGTTGCAGCCTGAAAGCCAAGATAGGACTCTCATCAGAAAACCACTGGTGAGGTTTTGGTGGGATGCTCAAGGGTGTAACTGCCTGCATATATCACAAAATTTCTTGGTCCCTGGCATGGCTTCACCTCTGCAGGACTTCAATATGACCTCTACTAGGTACCAGGGATGTTACCCCCTCCCAAAATGCCCAGTGCCTCAGGGGAGGGTCCTTTCCCCCTACCAACAGCCGTGGCTCACACAAAGGGTCCTGACCCGCTGTGGTTAATGGTGTGGAGCCTGGGGAGGGCTGGCAGGGCAGGGCAGGGTGCTCAGGGTGCTCCCTGTCGTGGGTCACCCGTGGGTGGGGGCATTGGGGTGCAGGATAGCAGGGATCTCTGCAGGGCAGGATGGCAAGGAGACACAAACATGCCTTCCAGAGCCATGAAAGATGAAATGTGCTTGGCTGTGGGAGATCCAGGGGTCTGCAGGGAAAGGCAAGGGATTACCCCCTCTCCTGGAGCCTGGATCCAAAGCCAAAATCTGGGGAGGGCTCCAAAACAGCACCACTTCCCTCTCCCCCTTCCTGCAGGTGCTGGGTTCGCTGGGGAATGCTCGATGCGCCAGGCTGGTGCCAGCCATATGATTGACAGCTGCCAATCTCCAGCAGCACAGATATCCCCGGGGGCAGCGTTAGGGTCGATTTGTCCTTTCTCTCTCTTGTGCTCCGGGATGAAGCGGGTCAGAGCTGGGGATGGGGGGAACCAGAAGCCACAGGGCTCAGACCCCGCTGCACCTGCTACCCCGGGGGGGCAAACTCCAGTGCGCAGGGAGGGGGCACCGGGAGACGGGGGGAAGAGGGGTCGGGAGAGGCTGCGAGCCCCTTGCAGCCGCCGCCGGGGTGGGCAGCGCGCTCCGCCCGGGCTGCACGGCCGGAATGGGGGTCGGGGGGCTTCGCTTTGTCTCCCCGCCCGCGGGGCCGGGGTCGGCGGCCGTGGGAGGGCGGGAGGAGGAGCGCGGCCCGCCCCCGCCGCCGCCCTACAAAAGGGACGGGCGGGCGGCGGAGCGGCGTGTGCCGCCGGGCAGGGCTGGGGACAGGGACAAGGACGGGGACAGGGAAGGGGACAGGCAGGGCAGGGGCCGGGCAGGGCGCAGCGGGCGGCGCTCCGCTCCGCTCCCCTCCGCAGCGCTGTCCCGGCGGGGCCCCGCGTCCTCCCCATCCCGTCCGGTCCCATTCCATCCCCTCGTATCCCATCCCTCCCGTCCCGTCCCGTCCCTCTCCACCGCCGCCGGGACCATGCGGCGGGCGCGGGCGCTGCGCCGCCGCGGAGCGCTGCTCGCCTGCCTCTCCCTGGGGACGCTGCTGGCCCTCGCCGACGCCAAGGGCGCCTTCTACCCCCCCGCCGCCCCGCTGCCCTTCGGCGGCAGGTACAGCCTCTACACGGCCGGTTCCAGCCCGCAGCTCGGCGCCGGCAAGCCCGTGGGCAAGCACAAGTAAGCGACCCCCGGCCGCGGCCGCGCAACCCGTCCGGAGCGCCCCGGAGCCGCCGTGCCCCGCACCGAGCCGGTGTCCGTCGGGCATCCTTTACCGGGAGCAGAGCGTCTGGGCTCTGCGGGCAGCATCCCCGGGGACGGGCTGCCGCGGTGCCCGAGCCCCGGTGCCGGCCGCGGGACCTTCCCCAGGGCTGGGCGGGAGTCCCCGGTCGCGGCATCCCGTGCTCCCCGTCATCCGCCAGGTACTGAGCAGGGGCTGGCAGTGCCCGAATGTCTCAGTGCCTCCCTCCATCTAGAGGAGGCTCCGGGAGTTGTATTCCCTATTTCCAGCAGGGAACGGGCTGCGGGCTCTGGGGACACGTGTGCTGCGGGACGGGCCGGGGGAGGTGGGGATGGCGGTGCCCGTGTGTGGTTTTGGGGTAGGTGCATGTACCTGCTCTGCGTGACATCGGCGGGGGTGCTGATGTGCGGGAGGGGAGGATGGCAGTGCACAGACCTGCGTGTGAAACAGCTTGGTTTGGGGGGAATTGCTTGTAAAATGCATACATGCTGGAGTTTAAATACGTTTTCAAGAAACCTGGAAAGCTGAGGCAGTGAGGAATGTGGGTTTTACACAGACTGTAGACTTTTTCCGTTCAGTTGCATAAGAGCTGTTACATTGGGGGCGGAGAGGGGGGTGTTGCTTCCCTCTCTGCTTGTTTGCTAGGGCAGTTTCTGCCGGGCTCCTTTGAAAGAGGGAGGATGTGGGGTTACGAGAAGCTGAAATGAATAAAGTAACGCTAGGGATGAACAATACTGGCAGTGCCAGTGAGAGCTTTCAAAAACCCATAACATTTTCCAGCCGCTCACTCTAAAAACATCAGGCTGGAGCTATAAAACTGCTTGCCACAGGTGTGTGAGAAGGGAAGGGGTTCTGAGAGGGAGAGAGAGGCAGAACCACACTAACCTGAGCAGCCAGGGCAGGCAGGGTTTATTAGCAGTGGCTAGTAGATCTGCCTGCATTGGCTGCCAGCTACCTTAGAGGTGTTTGTAAGCAGGTCCTGGATTTATGGATAGACGGTGATCCTAAATTTCCACATACACACATGAGCTCCCTTGCCTCCAGCTGAGAGAAGTGGCTGGCCTTCCTTCTCCTGGGGTCCTGTGCACGGATGAGTGACTCACTCGTGGAGGAGCAGGGAGCAGCACAGGGCTCATGCTCTGAGCCTGGCAGCCCCTTGCCAGGGCAGAGCTGCTCAGGAATGGGCAGGCTGGAAATGCCAGTGGTGTGCCCATCCCAGGGGTCAGAGAGGGGCTGGGGGGGATGTGCTGCTGCAGCTCGTGGGGGGAGCAGGTGGGGTGTGCTGGGGGTGTGGGATCGGGGGATCCCTGCTGGAAGGGAGCAGAGAGAGGCTTGGAGGGAGGATGGCCCTGCTCACACCTTGCTGCTTCACAGAGAGAGCTCCTGGCCCGGGTGGGCTGTTGGAGATCGTGTAGCCTCTGAATGGGGGCTCTGGGGGGCAGCTGGGGCTGCTGCAGCTCAGCTGCCTGGCCACAGGCTGGGATGCAGCCAGAGTTCCCTGGCATGGCCACCACATGGCCTGTGGAGAGCAGCCTCGGGGCTGAGCACAGAAATGAGCTGCAGGGCCTCAGCCCAGCTCTCATGGCCTTGCTGTGAGGGTCTGGACGATGTTGAGACACTTCTGGCAGGTGGAGGTACAGGAAAGGGACTGTGACTGTCAGGATGGAACAGAAGGGTTTGGTAAGAAGGGCTGTGGTGTCTCCTGTTTGAGTGAGTGTGTGTGCATGCACAGGGTGGGTGTGCACAGCCCTCCCCCAGCCTCCCCACCACGTCAGGGGCCAGAGTAGTAGGATTTTGGCTCGCCCTGAGTGGGGAAAGGTCGATGAAGGAGGGACAATCACTGATGGCAAACAGGTGAAGACAAAGTGTGTTCCCTACCCGTCCATAGCAAGCCCCCAGCTGGCACAGGGGCAGCCACGTCCTCCCGCCTCACTGAGCACCTCTCTGCACCTGCAGCTTGTGCTGGCCCATCTGCTCTGTCCCGCTGACCCCCTGCCTCAGCTCTGCTCTGCTCCGTGGGCCTGTGCCCTCCTCTCCTCCTGCTCCGCCGTCTGCCACATCCCCCTGCCCTTAATCCCTGCCTCCCCACACATCCCTGCTGTCTCTGCCCCTGTGGACCAAGTCCATCTGCTCCTGCCATCAGCCCTGCCTTCAGCTGGAGCAGCCTTGGCCTCCATCTGTCCTACAGCACTCCTGCATCCTTCCCACGCTGCCTTCCTCCCAGCCAACTTATCCTCAGCACCTGGCTGTGCTGCTTGGCTCAGGAACGCTGACTGGTTCCTGTGGCACCCAGCTCAGGGGGATGGCAGGAGGGGAGAGGCTCTCAGTACTCACTGTCCCACAGATCTGAGGGGGTTTCCAGCCTCCACCACAGATCCACTCCATCCCTGCCTCCCTGATGGGGGGACCCACGATGCTGCAGCCCTACAGAGCAGCATCTCCTCTCTGTGCCTTGTCTGTGGCAGCACCCACAGCAAGGGCTGAAGGCTTTTGGCTTGGCCCCTGCACTGGCAGCACTCCAGGAGCTGCAGCAGGATGGATCACCCTGCCAGGCACTGCTGGAGCTGTTTCTGGGATCCCATTCCTACAACTGCTGCTGCTGGGATTCTGATTGTCCTCAGAGTCCATGCTGTGCCGAGCACAGCCCAGCTCTGGGGACACCACCAGCACTGGTGGCAGCATGGCTGTGACTGACACTCCTGCAGCATGGTTGCGATGCCCCTCCCCAGCATCTGCCCATGCTGGGGGGCTCCTTCCAGCTCCTGCCCCCCGAGCTCGCTGGCAGTGTCTGGCAGTGCAGGCACTGCTGTGTGCTGGGCAGGGGTGACAGTGGTGACAGTGTCTCTCTGTTCCCCCAGGAGCTACTGTGCCTACGTGGTGCAGCGCAACGTGACGTGCACGCTGCAGGACGGGGCCGAGAGCTATGTCAAGGCTGAGTACCACAAGTGCAGCTGGGGACCCAAGTGCCCAGGGAAAGTGCTGTGAGTATGGGGGGCACTGGGGCACGGCTCCCTTCCCCTCCCAAAGAGCTTTATCTCCTGTGCCACCTTTCTGACCCTGACCCCCACTTTCCAGAGGGCAGTGAAAGGGGCTGAAGGGCTTTTCCTGGACATGGCAGGGCAGTGGTGCTGGGAGGAGGCAAGGTGGGATCTGCCAGGAGGGAGAGGGAGCTCTATCCCTCCTCTGAAACTGTCAGGGGGGGTTTAGATTGGATGTCAGAAGAAGGTTTTCACCCAGATGTCAGTTGAGCATTGGAAAAGGCTCCCCAGGGAAGTTGGTCATGGCACCGAGCCTGACAGAGTGGAAGAAGCATTTGGGCAATGCTCTCAGGCACATGGTGTGATTTTTGGGGGTGTTCTGTGCAGTTGCAGGGCACAATGATCCCTATGGGTCCCTTCAAACTCAGGGTATTCAAAGATTCAGAAATAGATCTGTAAATCATGGGAAGTGGGGAGGTGCCTGTGCAGGTGTGTAGGAAAGCAGTTTGTCACAGACCTGCCGTGTGGCAGAACGATGGCAGCTCAGTGAGAACCTGGCTGAGAGGAAGTGGAGCCTGTGGCTGGGGATGGCTCAGTGCTTCCTGCTCCAGGAAAATACTTACAAAACTCTGCCACCTCGTCAGTGCTGGAGGGAAACACTTTACTGTGCCACAGCTGGAGCCACCGCTGGGTCTTTGTGCTTCACCACCCTCCAGGGACACTGCTCCACGTGGAAAAGCTCCTCTCCTGCATCCTCCCCAGGCTGGAGGAGTGGGGCAGAGCTGAGCACAGAGGAAAACTGGGATGAGAGAAGCTTTTGTCAGAGCCTAGTACCCATCCTGTGGCAGCTGGCTGGACTCTCCCTGCCCCAGTGGTGCCATGGGCTCTGCTTGCATTCTCTCCTGGCAGAGACAGCAGCTGGACCCACTCACTCACTTGTTCTTCCCATCACAAGTGTTTTAGCAGCATTTGGGGACTTCAGGACATCCTGCAGCTGCTGGTACCCATGGAGGAGATCTCCAAAGCCTCTCCCCTCTCCATGATGCCCTCTGTTTGTCTCCTTCAAACAAAACCAGGGTGAAACCGGGGTGTTTTCTGAGAGCAGATGGACCCACAGCTGAATTTTCTGCAGAGCCTCAGATGCTGCATCCATGGACAACAGGGAAACATGGATTTTCCACGTGCTGGGGCCATCAGTGAATGTTTGTGCAGCTGGCTGCAAATACTTCCCCTTGCTGCTGTTTGGAGCAGGAGTGGAAAGATTTGGAGGTGCCCAAGGCTTTGAGCTGCTCTGTAGAGGCTGGGATGACACAGAGAAGGTGCTGTGCCTTGTGGATGCCACCCTCCTCCTTTCTTCACCCCCTGACAGTGGCTGGAGCAGCAATGTCTCATGGTACATCCAGGAAGGTTTCTGCACACTACAACAGAAGGAAAGATCATTGAAACTCAGCAGCATCTGTGAAGAGGAGTAACAAGAAGAGCTTGTTTTGAAACTGTCCCTTTGGGAAATTGATGTTGAGAATTTTTTGAAGAGATTCAAAGAGCAGAGGCTTTGGGTTTGCCTTACCCCCCTGCCCTGTGTGTGTATGTCTCTGGGAATCAAGAGCAGAGGCTTTGGGTTTGCCTTACCCCCCTGCGTGTGTATGTCTCTGGGAATTGTGTGGAAGCAGCACTGCCAGGGGCTGCAGCCTGGGCTGGGGACGCTGTGGATTCAGACAAGGACGTGGATGGCAGGGGATCAGCCCCACGTGCTGCCCTGACTGATGGATTAGTGCCTTCTGCAGCCCCTCTGCAGCACGGGTGGCTGTGCTGCTCCTCAAAGACCTTCTGCTGAACATGAAGAAAAAGAGGCTGGTGGTGTTTGTTGTTGCAAAACAGCAAACGTCAGGATTTTCAGGCCCTGGTAAATTCAGGTTGGATATTTCCAGAAGGCAGGCTTAAAGCATTGGTATTTAGAGGTGGTGAGAAAAGTGCCATGTTCAGCCCTGTACAGCTCAGCTGGTGGGAACACAGGTGCCAGCAGGGCCCTGCCCCATCACTGCTGCCTCACAGGACAGCAGGGAGCAGCTGGATTCTCCCCATCCAGAGCGAGAGCAGAGGGGGAAGCTGTGAGGGGAGCTTGCACCCTTTGTGCTGGGTATGGGAGGATCAATGCTGTAGTACCCAAATTCATGATGGAGACACTTCCCAGGGCATCCCAGCAGGGTAAGGAGCCATCCCTCTGTGCACATCACAGCATCACCCTGGAGACCCTCACCAGGCCAGCTCAAGCTCCTTTAGGCTTCCCAGCAAACTGATGCCCTCCACACAGAGAGAAAACACCTTCCCAAAGGTATTTCAACCCTCATGGGGACTTCCAGACAGGATTACAGTTGAGAAGAGGATTTTTTTTGATCCCACTAGGAAATTCTGTAGGTCAATTCAAAGTGCAAACCACTTTTACCAGCAGTCCATTTCCCTCTTGGAAGTGATGTGGGCTTGCAGGGCTTTTGAAATCAGTTCCACCACTTCATCTTGTGCTCTGCTGGCCAGAAGTTGCCAGTGTGGCATCTGTCACAGTGGTCACCTATCAGGCCAGGGATTGCAGCAATTGTGGGCTTGCAGGGCTTTTGAAATCAGTTCCACCATTTCATCTTGTGCTGGCTGGAAGTTGCCAGACAGTGTGGCATCTGTCACAGTGGTCACATATCAGGCCAGGGACTGCAGCAAGACACTTAGAGCTGCAGTTCTAAATCAACCCAGTGTCCCAGGTTAAAAAATACTTGACCAAACCCCCACCATAATGCTGCACTGAGCTATGGTGCAGCAAGAGCTCTTGGAGAAGATGGGCCATGGTCTGCAGGTGCAACACAAGGATTTCAGCCAGGCTTCCCCCTGTGCCCAGATCTCCCACATCCAGATCTGTGACCCTGCACTATTGCTTGATGTTGAGGTTGTTTCTCTAAACTGTCTTCTCTCTCTCTCCCTCCCCTCTCCTGGCAAGGTACCGCACCTTCTTCAGGCCCAAATACAAGATTGGATACAAGACAGTGACCGAGCTGTCCTGGAGGTGCTGCCCAGGCTTCATGGGAGAAGGGTGCCATGACAGCCCAACAGACCAGCCTGGCCTTCTGCCCCAGCATCCCAGCCCTAAAATGCCCCCTGGGCAAAAGATGTTTCCAATGCCCAGACTTCCTCCCTATCCCAAAAGCCACCCTGACCTGTTTCCAGGACCAAAGAAGAATCAATATGGTGAGATCCTCCTCCTGCTTCATGTCCCCAGGTCACCACACCATTGTCATGCACTTGAACATCCAGGTTCTCTCTGTTCCAGTGCAGAGCAACAATCTGGCAAAAATTCAGTGGGTGACATGTTTTCCATCAGAGTCCTGACATTTGATTGCTTTGAGGACCAGTTGCTTTTTAAATCTTGTTTCTTTCAAAACATGCAGCTTCAAAATTGCCTTTCCTCATTGACTTAGAGCATTTTCCCATTAATTATGGGGTTGATAGGGGATGTCTCAAGAGGAAGCTCTCCTGGGCTGTTATCATCACCTGCTGTTGAACTTGGGAACAGAGGGCTGGATCCCAAGAGGAAAGAGGGTTTCCTGATAGCTTAAGGAGAGATGTGGGCTGAGATTTTGCTGAAATGCCAATAACAGAGGGCAGGACACAAGATTATTATGGGAAAGGACTCAAAGGAGGGAAGTTAAAGCAGCACCAGCCCTCACCCTCACTGTGCCCTCTCTATTTCTTTCCCTGTGCAGGCAGGAAGCTGCCTGGCCTCTTCGGGGACCGCCTGGATCGGCTGGAGGAGGAGGTGAGGCGCCTGTCCCAGTCCTACGACAGCCTGCACACCATGGTGAGTGGGCTGGGGGACCGCCTGCGGTTGGCCATCCAGGAGGACACCACCAAGATGATCGGCTCCCTGATGAACAGCCCAGGCACGCCAGACTCATCCGTGGGCTTCGGCATCATTCCCGACGGCCTGGTGGATGTGGCGGACAAAGCTGACATGGCCACCTACCCTCCCGTAGGGGACATCCTGACCAAAGTGACCGAGGTGAGCGACGTGCTGAAAACCAAGGCAGATCTGCTGCACGAGGTCCGGGGCATGGTCCTGGACCACGACGGGCAGATCAAGCACCTGCTGGAGTCCTCCCGGCCCTCACCCCTCACCTCCATCGACCTGCTGGAGGAGTATGTGGACACCAGGCTGAGCAGCCTGCGTGGAGAGCTGCTGGATGGCTTCGAGAAGAAGCTGGGCAAGATCCAGACCACGTGTGATTTCCGCATCCAAGAGGTGCGGCAGCAGTGCGAGGAGGAGAAAGCCGCCAACCTGCGGCTGCAGCAGACGCTGGATGGGAAGGAGCTGGAGATCAAGAAAGAGATCTCTCAGCTGGAGACCCAGATCCAAGGGCTGACGGTGGTGGAAAGCTGCTGCAGCAACCTGGACTACCTCACCGATCGCATGAACATCCTTGAGAAAGGCCTTCACAGCATCTCTGAGTCCCAGAAGAACCTGCACTCACGCCTGGATGGAGAAATCTCCACTGCCACCCTAGGGAACCTCTTTGAAGGGCGCTTCGAGGACCTGGAAGCCAGGCTCAATGACACAGAGAGGGAAATGGGGAGCTGCTGCTCTGGTATAGAGGACAGCATGAAAGGCACAGTGGTGGCAGAGGTGGATGGCATGAGGACTGCTTTTGAAGACAAAATGCAGACCCTGGAGGACAGGTTCATGACCATTGTGGGGGAGCTGAACAATGTCAGCTCTCCCATGGGCATGGACGGAGCAGTGGTGCCTGTGCTGGAAGGGGAGCTTGCCAGCATGAGGAAACGGACAGATGAGACACTGGAGGCGTTGCAGAATCGCCTCATCACCCTGGAGACCACCTGCTCCCTGGGCTGCACCTCTGCCTCCAAAGATGTGGAGACCTTTCGGACGGAGATCGAGGACTGCCAGAACAAGAACCAGGACCTGCTCCTCCGGATGGACAGCAATTACGACCTCCTGCGCAAGCTGAACGCCACCATCCTGGAGATCCAGCGGCGAATCGAGGAGGAGGCATCGGGGGCTTTGCAAGGGGAGATCACCTTGCTGAAGATCAACCTGAACACTGTGAGCAAGTCTCTGACAGGGCTCAAGGACTCCGTTTCCCAGTACTCAGACACCGTGACACATGTCAACTCCTCACTAGATGAGCATGAGAGGAAGATTGAGGATGAGGTCCACTCCATCCAGGAGAAAGTCAACGACCAAGGTTCCCAGCTTTTCTTCAGCAACCGCCGCGTCCTGAACCTCAAGGGAGACCTGGAGCGACTCAAAGCCAGGATTGTCAGCGACCTGAGCTCCTGCAAGAGCGTGGCCCACGGCCTGCAGCAGGAGGTGTCTCGCTTCGACGAGCGGGTGGCGCGGGTGGAGAGCGCCTGCGGCAGGCTGGGGGCCATCCCCGGCAGCCTGGACGACATCAGGGAGGAACTGGAGAAACACACAGGCAGTCTGTGGGACTACATGGACCACATGAACGGGACACTGGCTGCCCACTCTCAGGAAATAACAGGACTGAAGGACAACTTGCTTGACTGCCAAGCCAAGGTCTCTGAGCTGGCAGAACAGGTCGGGCACTTGGAGGAGAAGGCGGAGAGAAGGCAGCACTAGCTACATTGCCATGCCATGTGTCTTCCTTCTCCTGCTGTGAAGGACAGGATTAAATTATATCACACAGACTCACTCCAATGTGACAACAGTTCTTGGGATAACTTTTTTTTATGAAAAGCTGCTACATTTTTTTCCCCTTAATCTTGTTGGTCCCACTTCTCCTTAACTCCACCGTGCTGGTGCTCCCCTCCTGATGCTCAGCAACTGTCCTGACCCTGGCACAGCAGTGTCACTGCCTCCTGGCTGGAGGTGTTGCTTTGGCTCCTGGGCTGATGACCCCAGAGGGACAATTCAAGAGTAAGCTGGAGGCAGAAACATTTTTTTTTAATTTCATTTTTGTGGATTTATCATTTCTTGAAGAATAAAACCCTGTAGTTATCAGCTGAGGAATAGTTTCTCTGACCTAAAGACCACCTGCATCTTAATCCAGAGACTGAACAGAGCCAGGGCTCCTTGCAGGGAACAAAACTCACCACAGGAATCGTAGATTTCAAAGAACACACGTATTCACACGTCCCTCCGGGAACTGGCTTCCCTTCTCCGAGATGGCAGCCCTCCTTGTGTATGGTAAATCCATTTATAATGCTCCCTCCTCCATGCAGATGCATATGCCTTATGGAGCATTAGGATGTGCATTAGGAAAACACATATGCATATATATATATATATATATGGTATGTGTATGTATATTTTTGAATGATTCTGTGTCATGGTGCTCATCTGATTCCAGTTTCCTACTGCTGCCCCCATGTCCTCTGCCAGATTCCAAAGACCCACACTGAGTAGCTAAAAGCTGTGGCAGCAGTGTTTGGAGAGAGCCCCATGGTCCCTGGGGTTGCTGTGCTTTGCAACCCCGCTTTGCTGGGCTCTCTGGTTACACCTGGGACTGACATGATGGTTATGGAAAACACGTGTCTTCCCTGAGGAGAGATGTCCATAGGTCTCTGCAGAGACCAAGCTGGGCACAGAGCAGTCCTGTCCTCCAGCTCTGGCTCTCTCCTGTTTTATTGCTTAAGCTGTGAACTCCATCATCTCATCCCAGGCAGGGTGTGAGTGCAGCAGTGGAGGAGCAGGAGCCTGTGTCCTCCTCATGCTCTTCTGATCCCACTGGGATGCCAGTAGCCCTCGGACCAACACCAATGTGGAACCAGGCAGGCCATCTGTGAGAACACCTCTGGAGGCCTGTTCTCAGCTCAGAATGAAAAACCCACATCATTTGCCCAGTTTGACTCTGGTTTCCCACAAATAGGCAGGCTGGAAAACATTGTCCATGTTCCTGAGCAGCTCCAGCCTTGTCCTACAGAGCTGTTGCACACAGAATCCACCTCTCCCTAGGAGCCCACCATGGGCACCCTCTGCTGATCAGCCAGTGGGGACTTCATTACCAGGATGAGGAGGAAATTAAAGAGCCTCCATCCAAGTAACTCTGGCACTTTATAGAAGAGGAACTTACTTTTGCCTCAGCATTGTAGCTTATGAACCTCCCAAACCAGCCAGGCTCTCACACAGTGCCTGTCACCCTCAGCAGGCTGTCCCTGCTCATCGTTCCCTCCTTGATCCCCCTGATTGCATGAAGGAGCAGCTCTGTGCTCTGACTAGCAGAGCTCAGCAGCTGCTCCCAGCAGAGATGCATCTGGGCACCTTTTTCCCCCAGAAAATCTGGGTGAGCTCCCTTAAGCATGCTTCCAGTTTAGGGAGGACCACAAGGATCACTGAGTCAAGTAGCCACACCATATTAAAAGCTCAGTCCCCTTCCAGAGGAGCACAAGCTGTGGGAGCATGGAGAGGACACATTGCTCCCTCACCACTTGCCCACCCCTGGCCAGGTGCTCACAGCACCAGAATTCACTCTCACTGCTCTGGGCTTTGCTGATTTGGAGCTACCCTCCAGCTGCTGAGACACTTCTCCAGCTGAGGAACAGCCTCCTGCTGCCTTTGGGCATCCTGCAACCTGCTCTTAGACAACAAAACTTATTTTTTCCTCCAGCCTAAGGAAGGAGTCTCAAGGCAACCCTGAGTACTTTGTGAAGGGCCAGGGGAGCCCTCACCCTGCAGGGGGAGCATCCTGCCTAAGCCCCTTTTCCATCCCCTCACACCAGGGAGAAAACCAAAGAGAAAACCAAGACAAGGGCCAGGCTACCTGTTCCCCAGCCAGGGCTGGGTTAGAATGGGTGAACAGGAACAGCTTCCCCAGAAAAGAGGGAGCCAGAACTGGCCATTACAAAACTAGGACAAGGAAGAAGTCTGACCTTCCGGAAAATGGTGCTATGTTTGGACTATTCCTGACTAGTCACTTGAAGCTATGGACAGTTTGTTATTTCAGTTCTCAGCTATTCATGTTTAAAAAATGAAAGGAACTTTGTACAAAATGGGCATTTTATAAAAATTGCTTGCAAAGTAAGGAAATGCTGCCCATTGGGTTGTGCTTGCATGGGCAGCTTTCTGAGGCAGTTGATAACTGATCCTGTTAAAAGACTGTTCTGTTGTTTTTAAAACCATGTCTATTTGTTCAGATTTTAAAAGCTGAAAAACTGTTTGTACTGGAAAGGAAAAAAATAAAGTATTTCTTGCTGAGGTTTCCAGGATCAAAATGACTTGTGTGGCTTCCAGAAGTGGCAGACAAGATGACATACACACAGGGGTCAGGGAAGGAGAAGGTAGATGCCAGACTGGAGGAAGGTGCCCAGCAGTGCTTCTGCCTTTGTTTTACTTTGTAACTTCCCAAGAAGAGAGAGTTGGGGATGCTCAGCCTGGAGAAGAGAGGCCATGGGGAGGCCTCACTGCGACTGTGCAGGACTTGAAGGGTCCCTTAGGAAAGATGGGGACAGAGTGTTCAACAGGGTCTGTGGTGGGAGGAGAAGGGGGGATGGCTTTCAGCTGCAGAAGATCAATTTAAGTTGTAACTTAGAAAACTGTTATTTTATTAAGGGTGGTGAGGCACAGGCCCAGACTCTGCACAGAGGCTGTGGATGCCCCATCCCTAGGAACATCCATGGCCAGGCTGCATGAGGCTCCTAGCAAGCTGGTCGTTTCTGCCTTTGTTTTACTTTGTAACTTCCCAAGAAGAGAGAGTTGGGGATGCTCAGCCTGGAGAAGAGAGGCCATGGGGAGGCCTCACTGCGACTGTGCAGGACTTGAAGGGTCCCTTAGGAAAGATGGGGACAGAGTGTTCAACAGGGCCTGTGGTGGGAGGAGAAGGGGGGATGAGGCTCCTAGCAACCTGGTCGAGATAGAAGCAGATCCCATCACCCCCAGGACCCACTTGGTAGGATGCTTGAATAAGACCAATCACATTTTAGAAAGGAGTTGCAGCCTGGCTCCCACTTCTATGTACAGGGCTGCAAGAGACAGCCTTGTTTAAGGCACTATTTACTATTGGGTTTTGTTCAGAACACTCAAAACCCCAGCACCTTCCATTGACCTTTACAAGTTGGTGGGCAGTTTCAGCTACCAAACTGCAGGTAGCTGGACTGTCTGGATCACTGGTCATACCAAAGGTAGTAATAGCTATGTCAGAGGCTCATCAATAAATACAACAGTGAACAACCACCACCCTTAAAAAAGAGCCAGGCTTTAGAGGAGCTAGAAACACCAAAAAAGACACAACTTCCAGGAAATTGTGTTTAGCAATTGGAGTTTTTATAGAGTCAGAACTCTCTCTTACCCCCTTAGGCTTCCTGCTAAGGAGTGTCATGACCTCTATTACAAGTGCAAAATGCCCAAGCAGCAAACAGGGAGGATGAGGTGCATCTGGAGCATTTAGTCCTGGCAAAGAACACGCAGGAGACTCTGGGTCAGGTCTCCACAGGGATGGGGTTAGGGCGAGCCATTCAAGTCATCATCAGGCAGTGGAGGTCTCCAGTAGGCAAAGTGGCTGTGCTCTGAGGACATCAGAGCAGTGCTCTCCCTCTGTCCCACAGGAGGGAAGAAGACCTCCACCAGCTCCGACAGCTCCTCATACCTGTGGGGGTAAGAAAGAAGTTACATTGGGGTCACTGGGTGTTTGTTTGATGCTTCTCTGCATCAAAGCTGGTTCATCCTGAAGATGCAGAGGAACAAACACTTTGCTTACGTTGACTTTTGGTTCTTTGAGAGCTCCTGGATCAGCTCTCCTTTGGGGTTTACTGTGAATATGCGGCTCTCTGGCAGCCCCACTTGCTTGTAGGCGTAGACATCCTGCCCAAGGAAGGCCAGCATGGCATGAGAGCTGCAGGAAGGCACCAGCACCCAGCCTGAGCCCCCCTGCACACCTGGGGACACACTCACATTGGGCCTGTTCCCAAAGCCTGCATAGAAGGGAAACTTTGTAGCAAACAGTTTTCGGATGTCTGTCAAGCAGGGGACCTTGAACACCTCTGGGTTCTTCTCAATCACCTCCCTGCAGCACAAGAGACACGGTCACAGTGCCATCAGCTGGCCAGGACTGTGGCACCAAACCTGTCAGGGCTCAGGGAAGTGATTTGAAGGGGAAGAAGTTTTGTGCATCAGAAGCTCCACTGTGAAGCTCCAGCAAGGCCAGGCAGCTCCCCTGCTGCCTCCCACCAAAGGCATTGTGCACCAACGAGGGCAGAGCAGGTCAAGGCCAGGACAACCCTCAGGGTCAAGCTGGGGAAGGGGGTGCTGTCCCAGGGTTACAGGAAGTGCAGGAAAAGAAAGTACCTGTGGAAGGCAGACAAGAGGCTACTGGGGGAAAGCAGCATGGGGCCCATGGGGAGGCCACAGCCTTGCTCATTGACCCATTTGAGGTAGCCTTTGGTGATGTGGGCCATGCCAATAGCCCTGGCTGAGCAGTAGAGGAACTTGTAGCCATTCCTAGAGAGAACACAGGGAGCCACTCTGAGCTGTGGCTTGGGCAAGGCATTCTCCTGCTCTGAGGAGGGAGAGGTAGCCAAATATCAGGCCTAAGACCAAATCTTCCTGCAGCAACCAAGGTGGCTCCACAAAGAACACGAATCCCTTATGTGGAAACCCCGACTAATCCCAATCCTCACCTGCCTCACACTGGGAGCCCCTGCACCACCCTCCATGCTCGTCCCAGCACCACACACCCCCAGCGCAGCTGCACAGCCCCCATTGGTGCTCAGCACCCTCACACAGCACTTGTACCCCACAGCGCTGCCTGTCAGTTGTGGGGGGCTGTACCCAGCCCTTGCAGACGCCCGGGCGGGGCACAGCTCGGCAGAGGTGGCACCGGGTGGCCAGAGGCAGCCGAGGTGCCGGTCGGGTCCCTGCAATCCCCCGGAGTGCATCCCTCCCATGCTCCTCCCGGGGCCACAAGGAGACATCCACGGGCCTGCAGTGCCTCTCAGTGGCCACAGGAGCCAGGCACCAAGCTAGAGGCTCTGCAGGGACTCACTGCTGGTGTCACCCCTTGCAGGTGAGTCCCCTGGGCTGTGGGAAGCGATCGCTGGGTGCCCGGAGAGGTACCAGCACCGCAGTGCTGGGGACCCCCGTGCCACCTCTCTCAGGTGTGACCTTAGGTGGTCTTGTCTCCTCTGCTATTCAGCTACATGTCCCCAGCAAAGCCTCCTCTGACACACACTCCTTCCAGGGAAGGTAATGCCAGCATCTGCTCCCAGGGGACTCCCTGCTTTCACCCCTCAACATCGTGTAGGCGTCGCAGCCAGCATCAGGCACCACTGACAGCAGATCTGGGCCTGCATCAGCGAGTAAGAAGCCC